TTTCAATATATATATTCTAGGGGCCCCCCTCAATATATATATAGCCTAGGGGGCCTTTATATACACTATAGGGGGGCCCCCTGCAATATATTATAGGGCCCCCCCCTGCATGAACTCTATAATAGGGGGCCCCCTAGTATATAAACTAGGGGGGCCCCCGCAATATATCCGGAGGGGCCCTTTGGAGTACCCTGTAATGGGCCCCTTTAGGAGGGGCCCCTAAGGGGGCCCCCTTGGTAAAGTTTGTTTGTTGACTTTGTGTGTACTGTGGGGTAAATAGGGGGCCCCTAGTAGATACTGAGGTGTACAGACACCCCAACTTTATGTTTATGCATGCAAATATATGCATGCATTTCTTAGTACGTGTTTATAAGGGTTTAGGGTTTAGGGTTTAGGGTTTAGGTTTAGGGTTTAGGATTAGGGTTTAGGGTTTAGGGCTGTAGTGGCTTATTGGTTACTTCTTCTTGCTACTCAACAGACACAATGAGTAGAGAACAGCAGCAGCAGTTGCTGTTGCTGCGTCTGCTGCAGCAAGAGCAGCAGCAGCAGCAGCAACAGCAGCATAGCAGCAGGATCGATCGACGGCCTTGCTGCTGTCTTTTGCTGCTGCTCTATTAACTTATTCTTTTATTAAATATTATTTATTGCCTTTAATTAGATAATATATAATAAATATAAATAAAAAGAACGGAAATAAACAGCAGCAGCAGCAACAGCAACAGCAACAGCAGCAAGAGCAAATAACAACAACCCCACCAGAGCATGTGGGGCCCCCAAGGCTTCATGGGGGGCCCCCTCCTGGTACCCAAACCCTGTATATTTTCTTTCCTTTCCCTTTACCCCTAATTAATAATGACAAAAGGCTTCTAAAGGAAAGAAGAAGTTGCTGCAGCAGCAGCAGCAGCAATAGCAGTAGCAATAGCTGCAGCAGCAGCAGCAAGAGCAGCAGCAGCAGCAGCTAGTTCGATGCAGTAGCAGTGTTTTAGCCTTTGGGGCGCGGAGGCCCCCAAGGGAGTTAATCTGCTTCTAGCTATGCAGAAGCAGGAGCAGCAACAGCAGCAAATGCTGCTGCAGCGGCAGCAGCAGCTCTTGCAGAGACAGCAGCAGCTGCTGCAGCGGCAAGATCATCGATGCCGCCGCCAGCTAGCCAAGCTGCAGCAGCTGCAGCAGGAGAGCGCAGCAGCAGAAAGGAAGGAGACGAGGGAGTTGCTGCTGTCTCTGTTCCCCGATACACATACAACAGCAGCAGCAGCAGCAGCAGCAGCAAAGACAGGAACAGCAGCACCAGCAGCAGCAGCAGAACAGGCTTGCCGGTGTCTCCTTGCTGCAGCAGAGCAGCAGCAACCGCTGTTTGCCTTACATGGCGATGGCTGCAGTGTACAGACACTGCAAGATGATCCAGCAGCAGCAGCAGCAACAGCAGCAACACCAACAGGAGCACCAGCAGCAACAGCAGTTCCCCCGCCGCTGTTTTCTGCTGCTGCTCCTGGAGCTGCAGCAGCACAAGCAGCAGCAGGAGACAGCAGCAGCAGCAGCAGCAGCAGCAGCAGCAAAGAAGGAGACTCGGATATATTCTCTCAATGCTGCCGCGCCTTAAAGAAAGTTGTATGGGAGATGCTGCAGCAGGAAGCAGAGGCAGCAGCAGCAACAGCAGCAGCAACAGCAGCAGCAACAACAGCAGCAGCAGCACCAACACCTCAAGATGCTGCAGCAACAGCAGCAGCACAACACAGGCTGCTGCATCTTCGTGCTGCTGTCCTCTGCAGCAGCTTCTCGTTGCTGCAGCAGCAGCTGCAGCAACTAAGGGGCCAATGCCACACATTGTGTAAGAATCGTGCTGCTGCTGCTGCTGCTGCTGCTGCTGCTGATTTTGCTGTTGCTGCTGTATTTGGCGCTGCTGCTACAAGCATTTGTGGCCATTGTAGCAGCAGTGCCTCTTTCTGCTGCAGCAGCTGCTGCAGCTGCTGCTGCTGCTGCACTTGCTGTTTCTATTGCTGTTGCCGCTGTGCTTGTTGCTTCTGTTGCTGCTACGCGATTGATTGCAGCAACAGCAGCAGCAACAACAGCAGCAGCAACAGCAGCAGCGGCAGCAGCAAAAGTCCTGTGTTGTTTGTGTGCAGACAAGGAAGACAGCAAGAAGGCAATAGCATCATTGGCGCTGCTGCTGCTTGCTGCTCCTTTTAGCAGCAGAAGTGCTGTTGCTGCTGTTGCTGCTTCTGCTGCTGCTGTTGCACTACGGCGTCCTTCGCTGCAGCTGCTGCAGCTTACTGTCGTCCCTTGGATGCGCTCTCTGCTGCTGTTGCTGCAACTGCTGCAGCGTATTGCTGCAAGCAGCAGCAGCTGCTGCTCCTGCTGCACCAGCGCCACCAATAGCTGCCGCTGCTGCACTGCAGCAGCAGCAGCAGCAGACCCTGCTTTGGGGCTGCATGCATTTGAAGCGGAGGTCTTGCTGCTAGGTGTTTGTAAGTCAGCACACAGCAGCAGCAGCAATCGCAGCAGCAGCAGCACTTGAAGGAGCAGCAACAGCAACAGCAGCAGCAGCAGCAGCAGCATGTTGTGCCGGTGCATTTTTGTTTTCTGCTGCAGCCTTATCTCGTCGTTGGTCTCCTTTTCCCCTTACATTTGCTGCGCTGCAGCACCTCAGCAGCAGCAGCAGCAGCGGCAGCAGCAGCAGCAGCAGAAACAGAAGCAACGGGCTTGGCAGCGACTACACTGCAGAGGCTGCGCTGGCGCAGCAGCAGTTGCTGCTGCTGGTGTTGAGGGGTAGGCCACTGCAGCAGCGGCTGCAGCAGCACATCTGTTGTCTGCCTGCCGCAGCCGGAGCAGCAGCAGCGGCTGCAGCACCTGCTGCTGCGGCAGCGAATGCCCCAGCAGCAGCTGCTGCTGCTAGCACACTGCTGCTGCAGGCCAACTCAACATATAGCTTGCTGCTGCAGCATGCATGCGCCCTGTGTGCCTCACTTCTGCAACCACAGCAGCAGCCGCAACAGCAGCAACAGCAGCAGCAGCAGCAGCGGCAGGATACAGCAGCAGCGTTGCTGCTGATGCTGCAGCGGCTTCCCCTTTGGGCTAAAGCAGCGGGCCCTCCTTCTTCTTCTCTCCGTCGCCAGTAAGCAGCAACAGCAGCAGCGACAGATACACCAGCAGCAGCATATATAGCAGCGGCAACACATACAGCAGCAGCAGCAGCAGCAGCAGCGACAGCAACAGTTGGCTTGCCTGTTTTGTTGTGTTATATTTCAGAGAGATGGAGTTATGCTCGGGGCTGCATGCGCTGCTCTTTCCAGCAGCAACAGCAACAGCACCTGCTGCTGCTGCTGCTGCTGCTGCAGTCAGCACCAACGTTTGCAGCGGCAGCAGCAGCGACAGCAGCAGCAGCAGCAGCGGGATGAATTCTTTGCCTCCCTCGTTGCAGCAGCAAATGCGTAAACAGCTGGCAAGCCTGCTGCCTCTCCTCCTTCGGATCTCAGAAGCAAACAACAGCAGCAGCAGCAGCAACAGCAACGGCAACAGCAGCAGCAGCAGCAGCAGCGCAGCACCGCAACAGCTGCAGCAATTTGCTGCTGGGTGGTGGGAGGCAGGAATTGAACTGGCAGACGGCACAGCAACTCAGGTAAGAATAGCAGCAACTGCTGCTGCTTCTGCCTGTGCTGCTGTTGCTGCTCGTAGTGTTGCAGTTGTTGCTGTTCCTGCTGCTGCAGCACGAACAGCAGCAGCAGCAGCAGCAGCACGTATTGGTTGCAACAAACGAATTCGCTGCACTTTATATCTGCTGCTGACTGCTGCGCCTCCACCTGCTGCAACTCTATACCGTTACTAATACTGCTGCTGCTGCTGCTGCTGCCGTTGCTGCTGCTGTTGCTGCTGCTCCTGCTGTATGAACAGGTTCCTGAGGCTGCCGAGGCCTTCGTGTGGCTGCGTGCTGCATCAGCAGCGCAGCAGCAAGCTGAGTTGCTGCTGTTGGCCCCGTTGCTGCTGCTTGGAGGCCACCGGAGGCAGCAGCAGCAGCAACTGCTGCTAGGTGCAGCACGCAGCGACGGTCAGGTGTACGTACACTGCAGAAGTCTCTTGCAGCAATGGGCATCTCGCTGCTTGCGAGCAGGTATGATGCAGCAATTACAGAAGCAGCAGCAGCAACAACAGTGCAAGCAGCAGCAGCAGACCAGCAATAGCAGCAGAAGCAACAACAACAGTGCATGCAGCAGCAGCAGCACCAGCAATAGCAGCAGCAGCACACACGGAGTTGTATATTCTTTGGCTTTGCTATGACTTTTGTTTTGCTGCTTGCTGCTGCTGCTGCTTGCTGTTGCTGCTGCTGCGGGTTGCTGCTGCAGGGGAGACTCAGGCCCCACTGCGGTTGGTTGCACTTCTTCTTGCTAGCAGCAGCAAAAGCGTCAACAGCAGCAGCAGCAGCAACAGCAGCAATGAGAACGACGCGGAGGCATTTTCTTTTGCTGCTGCAGCAGTAGCCTTGGCGGCGGATGTGCTGAGGGAGTTCTGCAGCAGCAGCAGCAGCAGCACCGACGCAGCAGCAGCAATTCCCCTGTGGTGTGATATTCTGCGAGGTGCAGAGACAGTTGAAGAGGCAATACAAGTTGAGGTAAGGAAATATGGCAGCAGCAGCAGCAGCAGCAGCAGCAGCACGGGGACCAACAGCAGAAGCAGCAGCAGCAGCAGCACGGGGACCAGCAGCAGCAGCAGCAATCTTTGCGTTATGTGCGGTGTTGTTGTTGCTGCTGCAGCGTCTATCTCATGATCGCCAATTCGCTGTTGCTGCGCGGCTAATGGAGGTGCAGCAAGCAGCAGCAGCAGCAACAGCAGCAGCAGCAGACGTTGCTGCTGCTGCTGCAGACCCCAAAAGCGAGTTTGTGCTGCTGCTGAGGAAGAGCTATAAGAGGCGCTTTGCTGCTATCTTCTCCATTGCAGCGCAAGTAGGTTGCTGTTGATGCTGCTGTTGCTGCTGCTGCTGCTGCCGTTGCTGCTGCTGTTGTTGCTGCTATCGTTATTGTTGTTGAGGCAGATGCTGTGGTTGCATAGGTGTCTTGCATTGTTCCGTTGCTGCTATTGCTGCTGCTGCTGCTGCTGCTCTTTGGACTGGCGTTGCTGTTGCAGTTGGCAGGAAGGCCTCAAGAGAGCGGACTGCCGCAGCAGCAACAGCAGCAGCAGCAGGCACCGCGGCAGCAGCTGCGGCTGCTGCTGCTGCTGCTGTCGTCCTTTGAAGGATCGGATGCGGCGGTAGCACAGGAGTTGCTGCAGCATCTGCTGCAACAGGTAGGAGGGAGACAGACAGACATGCAGCAGCAGCAGCAACAGCAGCAGCAGCAGCAGCAGCTAGAAGCAACAGACACATAATAAACAAATAGAGAGGCAAAGATAGACAACGTGAGGCAGAAAACAGGAAATAGGCACTGCTGCTGCTAGTGCTGCTGCTGCTGCTGCTGCGTTGCTCACAGGTATTCCCGGCTATATGCACAGCTGGTGCTGCTGCTCATGACGGTGACAGCAGCAGCAGCGACAGCGACAACGAAGGCTGCTGCTGCTGCTGCTGCTGCTCAGTGTCAGCGCTTCCGGAGGGGCAAGGCAGTATCAGCAGTAACAGCAGCAGCAGCAGCTGCAGCAGCTGCTGCAGCAGCAGCAGCAGCAGCAGCACATGCAAGCGAAGAGTTCCCCTTCCTGTGCTGCAAGCGACACTCGTTCGATGTGTGGGGCGGCTGTTCGTCTGCTGCCAGACCAGCAGCAGCAGCAACAGCAGCAGCAACAGCAGCAGCAACAGCAGCATGCTAGTGGACTTCATTAGGTGAGTTAAACAACTGAATTCGTCTTTTATCTCCATCTGTGCATACTTGCATCTACCCCAGCACTAGCTGCTGCTGCTGATGCTCCTGCTGCTGCTACTGCTGCTGCTGCTGCTACTGCTGCTGCTGCTGCTGCTGCTGTTGCATGCGTTTCAGGGCTCTGTTGCTGTCCCCGGGTGTCAGTGCTGCGGCAATTGAGGAGGCAACAAGTCAGCTGTTGCCGCTGCTGCTGCTGAATGCTGCAGCCCATACAGAGCAGAGCTGCTGCAGCAGTTCTAGCAGCAATAGCAGCAGCAGCAGCAGCAGCAGCAGTCAGGCACTGGTGACGATCGAGGAGGTTCGCAGTCTACAGAAGCTGCGCCCCACAGCGGCAGCAGCAGCAGCAGCAGCAGCAGCATTTTCTGATACACCGCGCATAGGGGGACAAGCAGCAGGCTCAAGTCCTGCTGCTGCCTTGTCTGCAGCAGCAGCAGGGGAGGCAGCAGCAGCAGCAGCGCTTAACCTCCATCTGCTGCCTGCTTGTTGCGTCTGTGGTACCACAGCAGCACTTTCACTAACAGCAACAGCAACGGCAGCAACAACAGGAACAGCAACAACAGCAGCAACAGAAGCAGCAGCAGCAACAGCAGCAACAGCCATATTTACATGTGGAGGCTGCGGCTTCCCGTTTGTGCCGTCTGCACTGCAGATGCCAGCAGCAGCAGCAACAGCAGCAGCAACAGCAGCAACAGCAACAGCAGCAACAGCAGCGGTACCGGCCGAGTCTCCACTACTTGTGCTGCTGCAACGCTGCATAGAAGCACGCGAAGATGGCCGTTTGCTGCAGCAGGAGGCATTCTTGCCTCTGCTGCTGCTGCTGTGTTGCTGCTGCTGCAGGTTGCTGCAGCTGCAGCAGCAGCATGCTCTGCAGCAGCAAGTGAGGTACCTCCTTCATTGCTTGTCTCAACGCGCAGGTGCTAAAGACAACCCAGTTGCTGCTGCTGCCGTTGCTGCTGCTGCTGCTGAAGCAGCAGCAGCAACGGAAAGAAGCATCAAGGCAGACACCGTTTTGCTGCAGCAGGTACAGCAGCAGCAGCAGAGCAGTCTAACGCAGCGGGCGCTGTGTCTGCCGCTTCTTGCGTTATTGCTGTTGTCTCCTCATTCTTCTATCTCTTCCCCTGAGCTGGACTGCAGCAGCAGCAGCAGCAGCACTAGCGACGGCTCTGAGGCAGCAGCAGATGCTGCTGCTGCTGCTGCTATATCCGTGTGGCTGCTGCTGCACTTCGCACTGCGCAGTCAATCTGTACATATGGACATGTGCTGTTGTCGTGAAAGCAGCAGCAGAAGCAGCAGGTGCAGCAGCAACAGCAGCAGCAACAGCAGCAGCAGCAGCAGCAGCAACTGTGACGTCGTCATTCGAATGTTAGATACTCCTCTGCAGCAGGCTGTAAAGGCTCCTCTGCTGCTGCTGCTGCAGTCGTCATCGTTGCTGCTGCGGCTGCTGCCTCCTGTCCCTGATAGTTTGCTGCAGCAACAGGAGGAGAAACAGCAGCAGCTGCTGCTGCAGCTGTGGGATGCGGAAGCAGCAGCAGCAGCAGCAGCAACACCTGGCGCCCTGCTGCAGAAGCTGCGGCTTTGCCTCCTCGTATCACCGGTTGCCCTCAAGGCAGCAACAGCAACAGCAGCAGCAGCAGTAGGTGTTACTACTACTACTACTCCTGCTGGTGCTGCTGCTGCTGCTACTGCCTGCACGGCTACCGCTTCTTCGTTGCCTATTCAGGACGAGATACTTCCATCATACAACAGCAGCAGCAGCAACAGCAGCAGCAGCAGCAACAGCAGCAGCAGCAGCAACACAGAGGAGAGCAGCAATAGTCTTGATATTGTTTGGATTTACGCGCCGCAGCAGCTGCAGCGTAGGCTGCAGCAGCATTTTATTGCTGCTTCTTCTTCTGCTGCTGCTGCTGCAACAGAAGCGGCGGCAGCAGCAGCAGCAGGTGCATCTTCTGTTGCTGCTGCACTTTCTGCAACAAAAGACATTTCCTTTACGGGAGACAGCGGAGATCTGCTGCTGTGCTGCAGTTCCCTGCTGCAGCTGCTGCTGTCTGCTGCACGCATGCGACCTCGACTTTCTGCTGCTGCTGATCACTACGGGGTGCAACTGCAGCAGAAGCTGCAGCAGCAGCAGCAGCAGCAGCCCGTCGATATGTGCTGCCTGTACACTCCATCGCTGCAGCAGGCAGTTGCAACAGTTCACCACCAGGAGCAACAACCGCAGCAGCAGCTGACGACAGCAGCAGCAACAAAGGCTCTTGTCTCCTTTCTCCCCTACCGGGTGTATCTACACCCCACTGCACCAGCAGCAGCAGCATTGCTTGTTCCTGATGCTGCTATGCTGTTGCGTTGTCTCTTTAGGCGACTGCATGCAGCAACTGCTGCTGCTGCAGTTTCTGCTGCAGCAGCAGCAGCAGCTAATGGAGGATCCCTTATGTGGTTAAATGCAGCAACACCAGTACTTATGCAGCGGCTGCAGCAACTGACACTTTTGCTGCGCTGCTGGGGTGTATCTGCAGCTGCAGCAGTAGGCAATGCATGCGGCGGTGGCTGCTGCATCGACAGTCTTTTCAGTTTGTTCTGGCGCAGCAGCAGCAGCAACAGCAGCAGTAGCAACAAGATTGCCCTCCCCTTCTCTACCAGCAGCAGCAGCAGCAGCAGGAAGGAGGCTGCTGCTGTCTTTAAGGGAGGTCTGCTGCTGCTGCTGCTAGGCACACAACGCTATCGCCTGGTGTCCGGCGAGCTGCAGCAGCACTCGCTGCTGCGGCGTTCCTTGCTGCTGCGCAGCAAGCTGCAGCAGCAGCCGCAGAAGCAGCCGAATGTTGCTGCTGCCGTTGCTGCCTCCGCTGCTGCTGCTGCCGATGAAGCTGCAGCAGAGACACAGCTGCTGCTGAATGTGCTGCTGCCCTTCCGATTTGCTGCTACCTCATGGCAGACTAATGTTACCCTTATCCGTAGGTTGTGCTGCTGCTGCTGCTGTTGCTGCTGTTGTTGCTGCTGGTGCTGCTGTTCTCCCATTCGTGGATATTGCTGTTGCTGCTGCCTCTAAATTAATGCGGATTTATGATGAATTCGTTGCTGCTGCTGTTCTTCCCGCTGCTGCTGCTGCTGCTGCTGCTTCTGGGTTTTGTGCTCAGCTGGGCTTGGTTTGCTGCAGCAGCTGCCACCACTCGATGGTTTAATATTTCAGCTGCTGCTGCTGCTGCCTCCTTCAGCAGCAGCAGCAGCATTTATATCACGTCTGCTGCTCTTGCATTACAACAACAGCAGAGAGAAGGCGCTTAGCAGCAACGACAGCAGCAGCAGCAGCAGCAGCGGAGGGGAAACCCTTGCTGCGGGTGACGCCGAAACTGCTGCTGCTGCGCTGCTGCATAAGAAGAACCAGCGACTGCAGCAACAGCAGCAACAGCAGCAGCAAATACTCTTCTTTGTTTTGCTGCGTTGTGCACATTATCTGGCTACTCGTAAGCAGCAGTGGCAGCAGCAGCAACAGCAGCAACCGCGGCAACAGCAGCAGAAAGAAGCAAGATCCCCTTGGCATTCAAGTTGTACCCGTTGCAGGGTCTCTTGCTGCTGCTGCTGCTGCTGCAGATCATGCTGCTGCTGCTGCTGTTGCTTCTTCGTTTGTGCTTGCAGGCTCAGGAGATAATGGAGACGCAGCGAAGCAACAGCTGCTGCAGTGCGTCTCCGTCTTGCAGAGGTGAGCAGCAGCAGCGCAGCAGCAGCAGCAGCCACAGCAGGAAGGTATTACCAGCAACTTACACTTTAACCAACTTGCTGAAAGATATACGTTGCCTCTGCTGCTGTTGCTGCTGTTGCTGCTGCTGCTGCTGCAGTGGTGTGGATTTGCTGCAGCAGGAGACGGAGCAGCAGCGGCTACAGGCGGAGCCCACGACAATGACAGCGTTGGTGCAGCAGCATTTGCTGCAGGTGATTCTCCTGCTGGTGTTGCAGCTGCTGCTGGTTCTGCTTCTGCTGTTGCTGCTCCTTCTGTTGCTGCTGCTCCTGTTGCTGCTGCGGAGTGCATCGTGGCATCGCCGTTGTGTTTGTTACTTTTACTGCATGGGTGCTATCGACTTGCTGCTGCAGCAACTGCAGCAGCAGCAGCAACAACAACAGCAGCAGCTTTATCTGTTTTGTTTGTCTTCTCTGCAGGTCGTTGAGGTATTGCGGCTGTGTCTTGTAGCCCCCGGAAGCAGCAGCAGCAGCAGTAGCAGCAGCAGCAGCGGAGCAGCAGCAGCAACGCTGCTCTACCGCCGCAGCTTTCTGCGGCTCTTCGTCCCCCCGGTGTCTCTGCCGTTGCTGCTGCGCACCACGTTGCTATCACAGCAGCAGCAGCAGCAACAACTGCAGCAGCAGCAGTGGCTGCTGCCTACAGCAAACACAGGAGTCGCAGCAAGTGTTGCAGCAGTGCAGACGCTGCAGCTGCTGCTGGAGGCTGCTGGCAGCGAGCTCGTGGAAACACGAGCAGCAAAGGTCTGTTGCTCTTGCTCCTGCTGCTGCTGCTGCTGCTTCTGCATCCGCTGCTGCTGCCTCTGCTGCTGCTGTAGCTGCTGCAGGTGGCGCTTCTGCCATTGCGGGAATTTCGGAGCGCTGCTGCTGCTGCTGCCTTTGCTTCTGCTGCTGTTGCTGTTGCACTTCTCATCTTCCCTTCTGTTTTCATCGCTTCTGCTGCTTGTGCTGCTGCTGCTGCTGCTGCTGTCTAGCTTTTAGGTTTTCTTGATTGCTGCAGAGGAGCTACGGATTGGTCAGTATCAGTGCTGCGGTGTATATACAGCTGTGTTGCTGCCTTCTCCCCTGCTTCCTTGCTGCACTTCCTGCCGTATCTGCTGCAGCTGCTGCAGCAGTATGCGGAGCATGCCAAGCAGCAGCTTACCCGCTGTAGCAGCAGCAGCAGCAGCAGCGGTGACGAGAGGGCAGAGTGCAGCTGCAGCAGCTGCGCTGTAGCAGACACGATCTACAAGGAAGTGTGGGGTTTGCTGCTCTTGCTGCTATCCAAAGCTCAAGATGCTGCAGCAGCAGACGAGCAGCAGCTGCCGCTGCTGTGTGCTGCCTTTGCATGCACTCCGGTGCTGCCGCCGCTGCAACAGCTGCTGCCACAGGACCCTGCAGCAGCAGCAGCAGCAGCAGCAACGCAACAGTTTAGCGGGAGCACCAGTAGTCTCCTATCACAGCAGCAGCCACGGACCCCTTTGCTGCGATTGATGCAGTTCTACTGCTTGCTGCCAGCTTTTCTGTTGGAAGAGGAGCAGCAGCGAATGCTCAGCAACAGCAGCTGCAGCAGCAGCAGCAGCAGCCTCCGGAACGGCTGGTGCAGCGATAGTTCCTCGTGGCAGCTCGAGGAACTGCAGCAGCAGTTGCAGCAGCAGCGTAGCGATTATTTGCATGCGCAGCAGCAGCTGCCGCTGCTGCTACTCCGCTGCTGCGCTATTGGCGTTTTCCTTAGCAGCAGCTTTCCTTATTTAACGCGATTGGCTGCAGCAAGATGTTTGCTGCAGGCGGTGCGTGGCTGCAGTGCGCCGTTGCTGCTGCAACAGCAGCAGCAGTTGTTGGTACTGCAGCAGCAGCAGCAGGATGAGGAGACGCGTGAGGTACTTACGCAAGAGCAGAGGGAGCAGCAGCAGCAACAGCAGCAGTTGGTGCTGCTGCTGCAGAAGCTGCTGCGCGCATTAATTATTAGCCTACAAGGAGTAATGGTTGAATTGCTGCACTCAGCAGATAATCTTGCCCTTTGCTGCTGCCAGATATTGGGGTATCTTGAGCCCTTCTGCAGCAGCAGCAGCAACAGCAGCAGCAGCGGCAGCAGCAGAGTGCCATGCTCATCAGCAGTAGCAGAGCTCCTACTAAAGGGTACAGACGTCGCTGTTTCCGGCAGCCAGCAGCAGCAGCAGCAGCAGCCACAGCAACAGCACGGAAGAAGCAGCAGCAACAGCAGCAGCAGCCGAAGCACTCAAGCTCGTCGCACTGATAGCATGACAAGCACTAGCAGCACCAGCAGCACGAGTAGCAGCAGCAGCAGCAGCAGCAGCAGATGGCAGATAGCAGCAGATGGTACCTTAGGAGTTGTGCTGCTGCAGGATTTGCTGCTGTCGCATCTACATCTATCTGTTGCAGAGAGAACAGCACAAGAATTACTTAGGGTATTAGGTCTACATCTACACTCTAATCCAGGTCTGCTGCTGCTGCTGCTGCTGCTGTTGCTGCTGCTGTTGGTGTTGTTTTTCTTCTTGCTGCTGCCGTTGTGGTTGTGGCTTTTTTGGTGTAATGGTGGTGGTTTATGTGCTGCTGCTGCTGCTGCTGCTGCTGTTGTTGTTGCTGCTGCTGCTTCAGGTCGCGCTGCAGAAGTGTTTCCTCGCATGTATAGGGCATATGTACGGCAGCAGCAGCAACCAAAGCGGCGGCAGCAAGAGGAGCAGGAGCAGCTGCAGGAGGGGCAGCAGCGGCAGCAGCAGGAAGAGCAGCAGCTGCCGCTAGCTGGTGATAACCCTTTTGCTGCTGATTCCTTCCGTTTCTTCTTATGGCAGCAACTGTTTAGAGCAGCAGCAAGAGTTGCGCTGCTGCCTTATGTCAGCAGTGCCTACAAACACTGGACAGGCAGCAGCAAAACCAGCAGCAGCAACAACAGCAACAGCAGCAGCAGCAAGGACACTAGCATCAGCAGCAGCCAACAACAAAAAGCGGGTAGAGGGAGAAAACGCAAAGCTGACACAGCAGCAGCAGCAGCTGCTGCAGCAGCAGCAGCGTCAGCAGCACAAGGAACGTCAAACGGTAGCAGCAGCAACAGCAGCAGCAGCAGCACAAGTAGTCTAGGCGCATGCGTCAACTCCCCACTACAGTCCTTTGTGCATTGGCTGTTGAATTCTCTCGAGCAGCAGCAACAACAGCAACAGCAGCAACAGCAACAACAACAACAACAGCATCAGCAGCAGGCGGATGTAGCGACCAACTCAGCCACAAACACCAGCACCAGCACCAGCAACAGCAGCAGCAGCAACAGCAGCAGCAGCAGCAGTATTCGTATTCAGATATTCCGTGCATGCGATCTAGCTTTGCTGCATCTCCCCTTTTGTTTGTCCTTTTTGCTGCCGCACCTAACGGAGGCATTCTTATCATCTAAGTGTACCTCGCCGCAGCAGGTCCTGTTGCTGCAGCTGTTGTTGCTGCTGCTCTTGCTGCTGCTGCTGCTGGTGTTGCTGCTGTTCGTGGGGACGGTGACGGGGGGAGTTGTGGTGGTGCTGCTGCATGGCTTTCTGGTGCATTTGTTGCTGCTGTTTGTGCTGCTGTTGCACACTGTGTGTTGCTGCAGTTGCTGCTGCGGTTATTACTGCGATTAATGCTGCATTTCTTGCTGCAGTTGTTGTTGTTGCTGCTGCTGCATTGCTTTGTTTTTTTTTGCTTGTTGCTGCTGCAGGCGGGGACTCTCCTCAGTAAGCGGCTGCTGCAGCTGGTGGAAACCGAACTGCAGCGCAACGTTGGGGCCAGCAGCAGCAGCAGCAGCAGCATCAACTGCAGCAGCAGCAACAGCACCAGGTCTTTAGCTGAAGGCAGCTCAGCGGGAGAAACAGAACTGCAGCAACAGCAGCAGCAGCAGCAACAGCAGAGGAACGCAGCTGCTGCAGACAGCGCCTCAACGATTCAGGTGTTTTGTAGTCACCTGCTGCTGTTCATTACTGCTGCTTCTGCTGCTGCTGCTGATTGTTGCTGCTGCTTCTGCTGCTGCTACTGATCCTTGCTGCTGCTGTTGCTGCTGCTCAGGCTGTGTTCTCCTTGCTACAAAAACTGTCACGATGGAGGCGGCAGTTGGAAGAGCAGCAGCTGCCGTTGCTGCTGCAGCGGCAGCAGCTGCTGCAGCAGCAACTGGCGAAGATTCAGACACCAGCAACAGCAGCTGCAGCATCTCCTGTCTCAGCTGCTCGAACGAGCAGCAGCAGCAGCGGCAATGGCAGCCACAGCTCGCCGCAGCAAGCTGCACTGCAGCATCAAGTGCAGCAGCAACTGCAGCAGCTGCAGCTGCAGCAAAAGCTCATGCAGCACCAACTTGCTGCTGCTAAGAGCACCCTTGACAATCTTGATCCGCTGCTGCTGTCTCGTGCTGCTCTTTCCTGTGGTGCATACGCAAGGTTCGTAGCTGCTGCTGTTGCACCTGCTGCTGCTGCTGCACCTGCTGCTGCACTTGCTGCTGCTGGAACAACAGGACGGCGCGCTACTTAGCCCTTCCTGTTTGTATGGTTGTTCAATTGGCGTTGCTTCTGCCGTAGTTGCTGCTGCACTGGCGGTTGTTGTTATTGTTGCTGCTGTTGCTGCTCCATTTGCTGCTGCTGCTGCAGGGCTCTATGTCTGGTGGAGCAGCACGTTGCTCGCGACTTGCTGCCTCTCCAGGATCTCCACCGTCGGCTGTGGGGAGGGCCTGCTGCAGCAACAGCAGCAGCAACAACAACAACAACAGCAACTGCAGCAGCAGGAGAAACCGCAGCAACTGCAGCAACACCTGCAACAGCATCAGGTAAAATCATCAGCTGTCGCTCGACAGTTTACGCATGCAAGACTTGCTGTTGTCGTTCATGCTGCTGCTGCTGCTCTTGCTGCTGTTGCTGCTGCTGCTGTTGACAGTACCACTGTGGCTGCCTTCTCCAAACAGTCATCAAGTTGTTTCCTTTGCTTCTGCTGCTGCTGTTGCTGCTGCTGCAGAGGACAGCACCTACGACGCAGTTGCTGTGCAGCTGCTGCTGCAGTCATACAGAGGACTTAAGGCACGCGATTTGCTGCTTGCTGCAGTTGAGTGCTGCCGCGTCTCTGGGCTGTACAGACACCGTGTAAAGTTGCTGCCACCAGCAGCAGCTGCAGCAACACGAGCAGCAACAGCAGGAACGACTGGTGTTGTTGATGTCGAAGAGGATGTGCAGCAGCAGCAACAACAACAGCAGGCTGTGCTGCAGCAGCTGCAGCAGCAACTACAGAGGCAGCAGCAAGCAGCTCATATTGAAGGCTTTGCGTTAGAGTTGTGGGGAAAATGGAGGAGAGCAGCAGCAGCATACAGCAGACGGTAATTTGCTGCTAATTGCATGCGTTTTATTCCCTTAGGCTGTGCTGCTGTTGCTCTTGTTGCTGCTGCTTCTTCTGCTGCTGCTTTTGCTGCAGTTGGTCCTGCTCTTGTGTCTGCGACAACTGCAGAAGCCCAAGTTGCTGCTGCTCGTTTTGCTGCTGCATGTGTGTCTCTCAGTCTCCTACAGATGCAAGGCAGCAGCAGCAGCAGCAACGGCGCGTTGCTGTCATTCTGCAACGCTGCACTGTCTGCAGCTGCAGCAACCTCATCTCCTCCGAGTGTCCGCGCAGCAGCCGCAGCAGCAGCAGCAGCAGCAAACGGAGCAGCAGCAGCAGCAGCAGCAATTTGGTGCGGCCTCTTCCGCTGTATGCGCAAGAGCGGTGGCGGCGTTGCCCTTTGGTTAGAGCCTCGTGCTGTGCTGCGTCTGCTGCAGCAGCAACAGCTGCAGCATCTGCTGCTGCTGCTGCCCCTCCCCGTACCCATTTCTCCGCAGGAGCAGCTGCTGCAGCAGACGAAGCAGCAGCAGCAGCGGCAACAACGAATGCAGCAGCTAATTCAACAGTTTAGAGACTCTCTTTGTCGTGCTGCTGCTGCAGCAGGAGGTGCATGGCAGTGGCAGCAGCGGGGAGAGCAGCAGCGGCTGCTGGATATAACAGAGACTGCTGCTGCTGCGGCTGCTTCTGCTGCTGCTGAGGAAAGTAATTGGGATGGATGTGCTGCAGCAACAGAAGCAGAGCTGCAGCAGCAAAGAGGTTTGTGGGCAGAAGCAGCAGCAGCTTGCTGCAGCTTGGGGCAGTGGGACGCCTTGCCAGCATTGTTGCAGTCTGCTTCTGCTGCTGCTGCTGCTCCTTCTGCAGGAGCTGCAGCAGCAGCAGCAGCAGCCTCCCCACAAGTGTCAGGAGCAGCAGCAGCAGGCGACAGCTGCACGGCGTTGCTTCCGCTGGCAGAGACAACAGAAAGTAATTTTTTGCTGCAGCATGCGCGTTTGCTGCTGCTGCTGCGTGAGGTGGTGCAGCAACAACAGCAGCAGCAACAACAGCTGCAACAGCTGCAGCAGCAACAGCAGCAGCATGGCTGCATCGGGTGTACTGTTGGGTCCGAGCTGCATGCAGCAACAGTACAGTGTCTTACGCAAGTTGCTGCTGCACTAAAAGATTCAACATTACGTGCTGCGTCTTATCTATCACATCTACATATATTTGCTGACCTTGAGGTGCTGCTGCTGCTGCTGCTGCTGCTTATGCTGCTGCTGGTGGTGGTGCTGCTGGGTCTTCTGTCATTGGTTTGTCGTTCTGCTGCTGCTGCCGCGTTCATGCTATCAAAACTGCTGTTGCTGCATGCGCTTCTGCTGCTGCTGCTGCTTTATGTTTGTTATGTACAGATCATCTGCAGCCGCGTGGGCATACTTCTGTGGCCTGGGCCCAACGATACCTACTGCAGCAGCAGCAGCAGCAACAGCAGCAGCAACAGGGACTGCTGCAGTAGATGCGGTGTAAGTGCAGCTTGGCAGTGTCTTCCCGTTGAGCAGCAGTGCTGTCTTGCTGCGCTGCTTGTAGATAGGGCGATGCCAACTGCAGCAGCAGCAGCAGGAGGAGTAGCAGCAGCAACAACAGCAGCAGCAAACGGACGATCATCAGAGCAGCTTGCTGCAGCAAAGTTGGCATTAGAGTGTCTGCAGCAACCTGTTGCTGCTGCTGCTGTTGGCCTCGCGCTGCAGCGCCTCTGTTGCGGTGTCTCGACACCTGGGGAGGTCCGCGTTGCCCACTATAAGCACATCGAAGCCTTCCTGCAGCAGCAGGAGCAGCAACAGCAGCAGCAGGTGAATATCCTGCAGCAGCAGCAGCAGCAGCTAATGCAGTGGCAGCAGCAACTGCTAAATAAGCTCGGCGTGGACATGCGGATGGCCCATGCAAAGCAACTTCTTAAGAAGGCAAGACTATAGCAGCAACAGGAACAGCAGCAGCAGCAGCAGCAACAACAGCAACAACAGCAGCAGCTGCTGCTGTTGCTGCTCTCAGTGTGTCTTTCGGTGCTGTTAGTGTTGTTGCTTTTCTCTGTCATTAGACCTTTGTTGCTGTCGTTGTCTCATTGCTGCTCTTCCTTGGACTTGCTGCTGCTGCTGTTGCTGCTGCTGTTGTTGCTGCAGGGCAAGCAGAGGAAGTGTCTCTCCCTGTTAGAGTCAATATCTAATGTCTCGTTTGCTGCTAGAGTGACGCTGCTGCACTTGAAGGCGCAGCAGCTGCTGCTGCCACCGCAGCAGGTGCTGCAGCAGTTCGAACTGGTGAGATACAGCAGCAACAGCAGCAGCAGCAACAACAGCAACAACAGAAACAGCAGCAGCACCTCTATGGTCATTTGTTGCATTTGTTGCTTCAGCAGCCATAGCCTTGTATCTGTCTGGCTTGCCCATTTAGTGCTGATCTTGCTGCTGCTGCTGCAGTTGCTGCAGTTGCTGCTGTGGGGTTGCTGTGTGCTGCAGCTTGAGCGTGAACAGAGGCAACTTCAGCAGCAGCAGAACCAGCAGCAGCTGCTGCTGCAGCAGCACGACAGTGTGCAGCAGGATTTGTTTTTCTGTTTTGCTTCCTTTATTGACTCCCTTATAGAGGAAAGGCTGCAGCGCGATGCCCTG